CACACACACACACACACACACACACACACACACACACACACACACACACACACACACACACACACTCGAGACATTCAGGTTGCATCGTGACTCGATGGCCCAAACCAAGGATTTCCTCGTGAGTCTCATTCCAGAGCTGTCACTCATTTAAACATACTGTACAAGTAATCAATCCTGAACCAGGGAGCTGCTGAAATCCCAAATGAAGAAAGAACGTAGAGGAAATATTGCTGTTYTCAAACCAGACTCATTCACCCTAATGGCCATTTTGTCTTGTGCTAACAGCAGTCATGTGTGCCTGCAGCTCACCTGTAGAGTGTAATTAGCCTTCTCGCTGATTAAATGGTTGATAAATTTGGCCGTATGCTGGAAGTGAACCTTTTCTGTGATGGTAGAGGAAAGATACACAACATTAAAACATACCACCAAAAACATAAATATCCTGTAGAAGTTAATGTGTTACCATCAGCTGTTGGGTGAATTATGAGGTACTGTTTCTCCAGCAGCTGACCCGCTCTGTGAGCTAAATTTGCCTTCTGGAGGGGAAAAAATAAGAAAACAAATGAACAACTTCTCTGTGTTTTAATGGTTATTAATTGCAGAACGAAGGTTGAAAATGCTACCGTATACACCCTGGAATCTGTCTTTGGGCCGAGGTATCGTTCTGAAAAAGCTGATGCTGCAGTTCGGAGAATAAAGAATACAGAAAACTTTTTGGTTTTAGATTTTGTTTTATATACTGTATATATATTAGTATATATATATTTAAGTTTAAGTTGCTCAAGAAAAAGCAGAGGAAAGTTTTACCATATAGCTTGAAATCAGTGATGGGTGAAACAGCGGCTCCACATTTCAGCTGACTGAACTTATCAGAGCTCAGAAGTAAYGTTGCCAAATATCCTCCGTAGGCCTACAGCAACAGGACGGAGAAATCAGCTGTAAGGTTAATTAAAACCAAACAGAACAACGTTTTCCACCGGCTGACACGTTACCTTTCCATAAACTCCCATTCGAGTCTTATCAACGTACGGTTCTTTGGATATGAACCTGAAAATGGGGAAAAAAACCTCAAAAAAATAGGTCTGCCCTARCGGGGGTTTAGTCCAGATCGCAGGTGGAGTAAAAGACTGACCTGAGCGCCTCCAGCTGGTCCCTCTCCTCCAGCTCGCCCAGCCTCTGGCGGACCTTGTGGAGGAGGTTGGTTCCCTGGAAGCCGCTGCCGTGGCCGTCGAAGCGGATCACGATGGTGCTGAAGCTGCTGACGAGAACGGTGGCCCAGTCCACCTGGAATCGCTCCGTCACCATCTGCCCGCCGGGCGTCCCGTCACTGAGAAGCCACAAAGCTGTTTTTAAACTTATTTCCCCCCTATTTACATAC